GGCCCCGGCCACCGGACGCCCTACCGGACACGACCCTCCCTGGAGCTTGGACAACTGCCCACCTCGGACGCTGCACCGGACACTGCCCCCCACAGGGCTGGACACTCCAACGGACACTACTTCCCAGCTCCGGACATTGCTCCCTCCTCTCCCGGGGCCCTGGACGCTTTTCCCCCTCCCCCCTCCGGGGGCCCAGACACTGAGCCCCCCTCAGCGTCTGGCTATCGTCCCCTTGCACCCCAGCCCAGGACACTGCCTCCTCCCTGTGCTCTTCTCCCTCCTGCTCCTCCCACCTCATCTTTCCCCTGCTCGGGTCGGAGCCCCGCCAGTTCCTCCGACCCCCTGCTGCTCGGCCGCGGCTGCCCGCGCCCCCATCCCCGGCTCCTCGCCCGGATGCCTCTCCCCGGGGGACTGTGGTGGCTTCTCTGCTGCCGTCGAGGCTTCACTCTTCTGCACCGGGACTACGGGGACGGCGAGCTTAGCGGGGACGGGGACGAGGACGAGGACGAGGAAACCTTTGAGCTACGGACCCCGAGTCCAGCGGGCGGCGGGAGGGTAAGTCCCGGGGGTTCGGAACCTCGTCTCAATCACTCTGTCTGTAACCGGCCGTGGAACTCGCTCCAGCCTCCAGCCACACGCTGCGCGCTTGGCGAACTAGGGACGTAGGGGAGGTTTTTGCCTGGGGGCCAAAGCCCCCGGGAGCTCTCGGAGTAGCAGCCCTACTCGGGATGTGCCTGTGGGCCTCCCGCCGCAGGCTGGGCGCTGTCCACCTGCTGGGGGCCCTGAGGCAGGGGAGGCGTCACGCGTGGCCCGACCTGGCCCTGCCTCTCCCTTCCCCGCTGGGCCCGCGTCCCATCCCGTCTCCTTCCGCCTCCGCCAGCGCCGAGGAATGTGGCGAGGCCGGCTGGGCAGCTCGAACGCCTGGGTCCCCCTCCGCTCCCAGTTCGCAAGCGCTGAGGCCAGATGCGAGAGCTCCCGTTGCGGAGACCTGGGCGAGGGGGAGAAGTCATCCCAGGATTGGGGTCTGTGGCGGGGACCCCACGGAGAAGGAGGTGGGGGCTCTTTGAGGACCCCTCCTCATTACCCTGCCACTCAGGACAGAACTCTCGGCTTTCCCGGGTGAGGCTCCTGGGAAACCCCTGAGGGAATGGATGGTGAGGGACACTGGACTGCTGCCTGATTTTGTCGAATCTCCCCGTGGGGAAACGGAGGCACGATTGGTGTGGGAGACCTCCATCCCCTGACGTCTCCTCCCCCATCCCCCCTGCACACTGGCGGCCAGACTCCCGTGTGCTGTGGCCCAGGTCAGGCTCCCATCCCCCGCGCAGGGGTCCCCAGCAGGCCCAGTGGCTCGGTGCCCGGGTGGGGCGGGCTGCGCCGCCGGGGCCGGCGCCAGCACCTGGCGGAGGCGGAGGGTGGATAAATATAGAGGGGGGGAGGGAGGGAAGCAGGGCACTGCGATTAGGGGAGTTAGCCTAAGAGGGTGGTCAGTACCTGCCACATGTGGTGTGGCTGATAGCCCCACTCAGACCTTCCAGAAAATAGGTAGAGGTTCACATAGAAAAGGCGCAGGACCCAGGCGTCCCCAAGCTTCCCGCTTGGGCAGGGTCGGCTTTACCAGGCCATTGCCTCCCTCATGCTCCACCTCAACTCCCCCTTTCCCGGAGCCTGGGGACAGGTGTCCCTGGCCCCCTCCCCCACCTCCCCCTCTTGGCTCTAGCAGTCTGGGAGCAATATGAGGATGGCACGGTTCCCCGCCTGGCTGGCCTCCGGGTTGCGTTTGTGGCCTCTCTCAGACCCCAGTCTACAGTTGAAGTTCCAGGACAGGGGGAAGGGAGGGGGAGGGGGAGGGCAAAACCCTGAACTACACCTGCCTCCAGAGGGTGTGCCATTCCTCAGTCTGGCCCGCCCTTCCTAAGCCCCAGAAAAGGGGCAGGGTCTCTGCTCACGGTTGAGTCTCAGGAGAGTCTATGGGAGAATGTAAGACGCTTTTGGAGAAAGCCCTATACTGAAAGGGCCCCCTGCCCTTCATTCACCTCTGTGCCTACCACCTGTCCTGCCTTGGCCAGGGAGGCAGTGTGGGAGAAGGGAAAACGAGGAGGAGAGGGTGCCTTGGAGCCTGGCAGAGCGAGCTAACCTCTCCTTTTTCAAAGATGGGAAAACTAAGGCCCAGAGATGGAAAGAGACTTGCCCAAGGTTCCACAGTGAGTGAGTGGTGGAGCGGGAATTGGAACCCGGGTCTCCTGACTCTCTGTCCAGTGCTCTTTCCACCCGACCTTACCCTTGATTGTATCTTCAAAGGGTGACTGAGAGGAGCCTTGGCTCCTTAGCTCCTGCTGTTCTGGAGAGCTTGTCCTGTTGCGATAGGCGGGAGGGGCGAGCCCAGCGGCTCCAGCGCGCTCCACCCCAGTCACGACCCCACTCTGTGATTCCTTCCTCAATCCCCTGAGCAGCACTGTCCTGAGGGCAGAAGGCACGAACCTTTCGCAGGAAGGGCTTTGACCCTAAGGGCTTCCCCGCCTGTCTCCCCAGGGTCCCCTGGAAGTGACACTGACTCAGCCGGTGAGGAGCGGGCCTGTCTCCAACAGGTGAGCTACGCCCCTACGTCCCATAGTCTCGAGACCCCAGCCTGTTCCCGGGACCCCCATCCTCACTGTCTCCTCTAGCGGTTGCGCAATAAGGGAGAGGCCCTACGCCGGACGCTGTGGTTTGGCTGGGGTCCCGGGGGGAGGTCCGACTGGGGGCGCGGGGAGAAAGAGGGGGGTCGGGGCTATTTCTGGTGCGAGGTCAGAATGGTCCAGCGGTTCCCACAGCCTGGGGGAGGGGTGCCCAGCTTGGGAGCAGACACCCTTGCGGTCTGGGGAACCCCTACAGAGGAGCCCCCTAGAGGCGGAGTGGAGGCCCAACCCTCCCTCCCCTCTGGCCCAGGCTGCAGAGCTGGGAGGAAACTTGGAGCCTCATCCCGGAGAAAGGGCTGCCGGAGGACGACCCAGACATCGTTGTGAAAGGTAGAGACCCCCCCTCAGTGCACTCTGGAGGTCCCCAATCCCAACCCTCCAGAGACTGTGTCCTACTGATGTTCCTTCCCTCCCTCTCCTGCCCCCAGGTTGGCTGTACCGGGAGCCCCGCGGAGGAGGGGCGCGACCCTGGCTGCCCCCGCGCCGAGCCTGGTTTGTGCTCACGCGAGACTCCTTGGATCAGTTCAGCAGTAGCGGGAAGGGGGCGCGGCGTCTCGGGAGCCTCGTGCTCACCAGCCTGTGCTCGGTGACCGGCCCAGAGCGCAGGCGTAAGGAGACAGGTGAGACCTCCTGGGGACTCTCTTACCTTCCTGGGCAGGGGCCCCAGCAGACCCTAATGGCCCTCTCCGGCCTCTCTTTTCCCCAGGTCTGTGGTCAGTGACTGTGTCTGGTCGGAAACACAGTGTCAGCCTCTGCTCCCCACGCCAGGCAGAGGCTGAGCGCTGGGGGGTGGCATTGCGGGAAGTGATTGCCTCCAAGGCACCCCTGGAGACCCCCACCCAGCTACTGCTCAGGGACATACAGGTAAGAGAGGACACCAGGGAGAGCCAGGAGAGTGGTGGACCCCAAAGCTTTCTGGGCTTGTGAGGAATTCCCTTCCTCATCAAGGTGACCCTCTCCCTGTTCCCCTAGGAAAGTTGCGGGGACCCAGAGGCAGTTGCCCTCATTTACCTGCGGAACCCGATTCTGAGACACACTAGTGGAGCCTTGTACGCCCCGCTCCTGCCCCTGCCCTACGGAGTCAGCGCCCCAGGTGAGTGGTCCCATGGCCCAAGTCCCCTGGATGGGATGGGGTGGATCAGAGGTAAGAATCTGAATCCCTTAACTGGCAGGGACCTAAGCATCCTTTAGGGGCCTGCCAGTTCCTCACTTTTCAAAGGATTAAGGTGAAACTGGAAGCTGGCCAGGGTGGAGGGGAGGAAGCCAACACCCACAAAAGGGTCCTCTTTGACCACCTTCTCTATGGCTTTCATTCTGACTTCTGATTGTCCTTCAGGAGTTTGTACATTCTCCTATTTTTTCATTATACTCTTGAGACCATGCCATATTACCTTTACAAGTGGTATAAAAGCTACCACTTTTGTAGAACGTGCTGGCCTCATCCAATTGTACTTCTCCCTAAATGGTTTAGTGACTGGCCCAGGTCCTAAAGTTAGAGGATTAAAGGGTGCTGGGAGAGGAACCCGGGTTTTCTGGCTCCTAGTCCATCCTGTTTTCTGACCTATGGTGGTGAGCCTCAGTATCCAGTTACAGAATCTGGGGTGTGAATCTACAGCCCTTCAGCCGCCCCTCTCCCTAAATCCAAATCCAGGCTTAGTGGGATTGGGAAGGGGATTCCTGGGAGGCAGAGGTTAAGAGTCTGGCTTCGTGGGACCACTGCTTTCCCTTCACTCTTCCTGTCGTTCGTACCCTCCTCTCCCTGCCACCCCATCCCCTTATATTCCCTCTGACTTTCCCCTGGTTCACACCTTCCTCCCAGGGCGCAGCTCTGTGTTCCCTTTCCAAACCGTCCCTCCGCCCCCACCCTCCCACAGGTCCGGGCTATGCACCCCTGCGCGAGGAGGCGGTGCGGCTGTTCTTGGCGCTGCAGGCGCTGGAGGGGGCGCGGCGCCCCGGGCCCTTGATGCAGGGTGTGCTCCAAACCTGCCGGGACTTGCCCGCGCTCCGGGATGAACTCTTCCTGCAGCTGGCTAAGCAGACCTCGGGCCCTGCAGGCCCCCCCGGGCTCCCGGCTACCCAAGACCCTGCGACCCTGCGGTACTGGCAACTCCTCACCTGCATGAGCTGCACCTTCCGGCCTGGGGGAGCTGTGCGGGGGCACCTCCTGGGGCACTTGGAGAGGTGAGAGGGGCGGGGCGGGGGTTACGGCCTAGGCAGGAGCTACCGGGCTGGGAGAGAACGAAAGGTCTTTTGCAAAAGGTTTGGTAGGTAAAGAACCCAGTAATACATACAGTGCCTTTGTGGAAGATACAAGATCCTATCTCAGTTGTGAGCGGATGAATTACAATAAAACGCCCCCCTTGGGCTGAGGAATTATGAAAAGGCTGCTTTTCCTCGAGCTGATGCAGGCCAGCGCCAGGGCTTAGGAAAATGTAGTAAAGTGGCTGGATTTCGATTTCAGGTCGAAGGAAAATCACGCAGACTTTCGGAAGTGGTGGGAGCAGTTGGGAGAAAGCTGCCAGGGGACTTGAAAAGTAATTCAGCTCTATGCAAAGCACTGGGGATAGATTTAGAAGAGCCTTCAAAAACTTAAGTTGGGGCGGGGAGGAAATCGGCTAGATAAAATAAACTATAAGAGAAGAAGGCAAGAGGGAGGGGAAGAAAAGCCCTTGGAGTATTGATCCTTGGGTTCCTCCCAACCAGGACCGAGCAGGCACTCCCGGACTCGGAATTGGCGGAATATGCGCGCTTCATCCGGAAAGCCCTGGGCCGGACGCGCGGCCGAGAGCTGGTGCCCTCGCTGGCGGAGATTTCCGCGCTGAGCCAACGGCAGGAGCTGCTGTGTACCGTGCACTGTCCGGGGGCTGGTGCCTGTACTGTGGCCATCGACTCCCACACCACGGCGGGGGAGGTGAGGCCAGAGAAAGGCCCCATGACCTCCAACCCACCCTGCCAGCTTCTCACGCTTGTCTCACCCGCTTCCTGGACCCTAGGTTTGCCCCGAGTCTCAGATTATTTTGGTAAGGGAGGGAGTGGTGGTGACAGGACTAAGAGACCCCTTCTAATTGAATCAACCCCTCCCAGAATCCTGGCAAGACCCCTGAGTGGTCTGACTTTCCCCTCACTCTCCTCTTCTAGGTGGCTCGAGAGCTGGTGGGGCGGCTGGGCTTGGCCCGCAGCCGCAACGCATTCGCACTGTACGAGCAGCGAGGGACCCAGGAGCGAGCCCTGGCTGGGGGGACCCTCGTGGCCGACGTGCTCACCAGGTTTGAGAAGTAAATGTCCAGCCCCAGCCCTGCTCTCTATTAGCCCGTCCACTTCTCAGCTGAGGTCAGTCGCTAAGCGGACATTATCCAGCGCTTGCCCCTGGCCCTGCGCTGTGGTGTTCGCTGGTTTACAGACGGACCTGCCTGCCGCAGGTTTGCAGTCCGACTCCAGCCTCACATCCGCGGTGGGCTCCGCCCAGGCCCCGCCCCAAACATATGGACCCGCCCCCACCCCGAGCTGCCCTAGCTGTGCGGTCAGGCTTCTGCCTAGTGCGGCGTCCGCTCCTCTTCTGCAGCTTGGCCGCGGAGGAAGCTGGGTTGGAGGACTCGCCAGACTCCGGGTGGAGACTATGTCTGCGTCTTCACGGACCTCTGCACCCTGAGGGGCTGTCCCCAGACGGTCACGAACTGCCTTTCCTCTTTGAGCAGGTGAGGCTCTCCGGCGTTCACGCCTCCAAACAGACCCCCAAGCCTGAACCCCTGGTTTTCGGGCCATCTCATTACTATGGCAGCCCCGCGGGAGGCTTGACTGGAACCTAGACCTCCTCAGATTCCGAGAGGCGTTTTCGCCTGACGCCGGGTGCCTCCCCTGCAGGCTCACGCTCTGCTGCTGCGGGGCCGGCCGCCCCCACCCGACGACA